GGGACAGCTTACAGCAGCCACATCCCTGTGGAAGGAATCTCCTGGCTCCTCTGTGCCTCTGTGTCCCCCTGGCACCCAGCTGTGCCTGCCAAGCAGACCAGCATCCCTGGCCATCTTTTGGGAGCAGAGCTCCTACCAGGAGCTGCTGGAATGCTGGGGTCCCTCTGCAAGACTGGTCTAACCCCAGGCAGGGCCACTCCAGTGAGGCTGCAAGCCCACAAGCTGCACTCCCCTTTCACTGCATACTTTCGTGTGCTTTAAGATTTTGCTCAGGCAGAACTATTAAATCTCCAGAATTTCAGGCCCATATTCAGAAAAATAGAAATGTTATGTTGTTTGGCAGCCTCTTTTATCAGCCATGTCTCTTTCCTAACAAGATGCTCACAGCTTTTTAAGTCATTCATCTGCAGGAGGTTGTGTTCTGTGCTGCTGGTGGTAGTCAGGTGAAAGGGTAGTTAAAGAAAAAGTCATTTTTAGAGAGGTAGAAAGAGCTCCCCTCCAGAGAGAGTTGATTGCAGTGGTGATTGCACCTCACAAGAAGAGGAACATGTTCAGGATGTCTCATGGCAGCAATGTCCTCCTGAGGTCAGAGAAGCAGCAAGTAAAGAGTCCCACAAGTGTGGCTTTCCAGGACAGCTCGGGAGAAGCCCTGAGCTCCCTACTTTCCAAATGCCACTGTGTCACTTCAGCCTTGCTGCAGTTTTTTACAGGATAAAACATGAAACACTCCAGTCTATTGTGACCCCTGCATGATCCGTTTCAGGACCACCTCCTGGGTGCTCCCAGCTTTCCTTGCTGTTTGCAGCAGCTCTGTCAGGCACATCCTCCACATCCCCCGGGAGCCTCAGAGCTGAAGGGGAAATCTGAAATGCTCCTGGTGCAGAGGATGGAGAGACATTGCAAAGTTAGTGCACCTACACATGCCTCCAAAGAGAAATGCTGAATAAAAATCCACCTTGATGTGTTCTTGAAGGCAAAAGCCTTCTAATGCAGCCTCTGCCCATGATTTATAACAATGACTCATAATATTGCATTATACTTAATATGATGTAACGCTGATGCAAGATGCCATTTGTGGAATTTCAATGTCACAGGGAAAATGAAAGGAGAGAGCAGTCTGGTCATGTACCTTGCCATGCAGTCAGAATGAAATGCCTACAGCCAGAATGTGTAGAGCCTTTCAGTATCTACTTTGTTATTTTTTAGCAGGATAGATAACCTGGAGAATAACATTTCTGTTTCCTGGAGTATAAATATCTCTCAGACATACATTATTGTGTTACTTACAGTAATTTAATCAACTTCATATTTGAGAAGACAAATTTGCTAACAGACAATTCAGTCTTGCAATTATACCCCCTCACATGGAAGTTTGCAGGGCAAATAAGGATTATGCCTTTAAATTAATTGAAGCTTTATCTCCCTTTTCTGACCCAGCTGTTATGAATTCTCCTCCTGTTCTCACTGTACTGCTTGCTCCTTCCTGCAGTGAATCAGCACTTCAGGAAACACTAATTCAAAGAGGAAAGACACCCTAAACTCTGGTTCTGGAGGTCAGGAATTGCTGCTCTCTGCTAGGTTTGACAAATGAGGTAAGGCTCTGGGGCTGCTCGGGCCAGTTTGGTGGGGTGTTGGTGACCCCTGCTCAGAACTCTGCCCCTGCCCTTCCAGCAGCCCTAGGAACTTGTGCTACACAAGTGAGTCCTGCTGGATTGTCTCCAGACAGACAGGGAAACAGAGCCAGAGCTCTGTCCTTCAGCTTGAGGAAAGCTGGCCCTGGCTGCGGGACCCACGGGCACCCCTGGCTGCATTTGTGGTGGGGAGCAGCTGGGAATGGCTTGTGTCCCCCACTCTGCTCCCAGGGCTGCTCCTCGCTGCATCCAGGGTGTGCCTCGGGGCTCTCCAGGCACTGCATGACCCGAGCTGTTCAGCAAAGGAACAGGGATTTTCTCCATCTATGACCTTTGAAATCCTCCACATCTGACACCCTCAGTTGTCTCATTTCCAGCAAGAAGTGACAGATTGTGGAATTACAGAGTATCCTGAGCTGGAAGAGACCCTCGGGGATCACTCAGGCCAACCCCTGGCCCTGCATAGACACCCAACACTCCCACCCTGGGCATCCCTGAGAGTGCTGTCCCAAGGCTCTTGGAGCTCTGGCAGCCTTGGGGCTGTGCCCATTCCCTGGATGACTGTACACTTGCTCTGTCTTCAGGATGTTCAGAGGCTGCTGCTGGCACCCCAGGGAGCACAGAGAAATTGCCTGGGTCAAACAGGACTGTGAGAGGCTGGAAAGCCTTGAACTGAGGTCTCCACAAATCCTGGATCAGGCTTTCCCTGGTGGTTCTCTGTCAGTTCATACCCTGCAGTCCCTTCTGTGCCCAGTGCTCCCAGTAAGCCCAGCAGACCATTCTCAACTGCCAAGATGGAATGGATGATTTTACCAGTGGTGCTCAAGAAGACAACTCGATATTGGTGGGTCTGTGCTGTTCTAGAATGCATCCTGAACCACCTGCAGCAGGTGTCACCTTGAAGAAGGAGCTTGTCACAGGTGAGCACCAGGTGAGTGGGCACAGCACAGTTTCACATCGCAAGACCAAAGTAGAGAGGACTGACTTTTGAACACCATAGCAGTGCCTACAGGTGGTGGTAAGAAATCAATAAGAATTTATTTATTTTTGGAAGCCTGGTAGGTGCCAGTCTGTCTCCAAAGTGTATAAATATCATCAAAACCTAGCCATGGGCAAGTGAAACAAGACAAGAATTTGTAGCCCAGAGGAAAGCCACCATGAATAGATTGTGTGGAGGCTGATAAGATCCATATTGCTCCAAAATGGAGTTCCACCTCACAACAAGGCTGTCTTTGTTGTGGAAGAGTCAGGTTGTGAGTGTCCTGGCATGCCAAATACCTGTAATGGCCTCCCCTGCCAATTGTCTTTAAATACTGTGATCTTTCACACAGAGGCAAAGCCTGAAAGAAATCTCTCTAGCAAAAACATCATTTGTTCATTCTCTACAGGACAGTGGAGCAGCAAGCCCTCTCCTCGGTTCTGTTACTCTTTCTCTCCCCTGCAGATTTCAAGCAGAGATGTGTTCAAACAAAGATGGGCAATTTTGCTCTGTGAGGATGCAGGAAGAAGCGCAGAGCTATCTCTAGATCAGAGCAGTTCCTGAGCCTGCTGGAGAAATGGCAGATGGCCAGAGATAGCACAAACCACTGCTCTCCCAGATTACAATGTGGAGAGCTGAACCTTCCAGGCACAAGCTTCCAGGACAGCAAATTGTGCACAGAAAGGTGAGAAACACGAGGAGCCTGGCGGGGAGGCTGGGGAGGCTCCTGGAGCCGGCCTTCCCACAGCCACCTCCAGCACCAATGGCCCTCCTCTGCCCAAGGTCCACACCTGGGGGATAACCGAGATCAAAAATTGCAACTTTTCTATTTGTCTGCATTTTTGAGCTTTGCTCTGGGGAAAAATTTCTGGCCAGTAGGCAGTTCCAGCCGAGTTTGCAGTCTGTTGTAGGCTGGTGTGTCATTTCCTAGGAATCTTTTACTGCCAGCACCCATCAAATACAAGCAGACCTTTCAAGGAAGTAGCTTTGCCACAAAGGTGAAACTGCTATTTTTTGTTTCACTGGGTCTGTGCTTATACAGCAGAGCAGACTGTGGGTGTTGGTGCTTCACCAAGTTTTTCGGGATGTGCCTTCATGCTACCAGATGCTAAGTAATAAACATCTCAGAACCATTCATTTTGCAAATATTAATGCTCAATCCTTGAGTTATTCTCGGAATTCAGGGTTCATTTTGCTGGTGTTGAAGTACAAGTTTTTGCACCACAGAGCCAGACACAGGTATTTGGGATACTACACAGAGTAAAACCCAGAATCTCATCTATAAAACTCCTACAGTAGCATTAAATTAGAGAAGGGTCAGGCTTTTGTTTGGGGTGGAAATGGCTTTTCTTCAATACAATCTGCCTGGCTCCAGCATAACTGGAGATGTCTCAGAGCCTACAGGTAATTACCACAACAAAAATAGCATCCACAAATTAACTGCTGCTCCCAACTTCCTTCTCCCATTTGCCTCTAAGTCACACTCACATGATGCTGGAATCAGGACTATTGCATAGGAGGAGGTAAAAGGAGAGCTGAGGAAGCAAGGATTGACATCCCTGGGCAATGGGATCAGCAGAACTCCTGCAGAGAGAGCCCTGCTGGGCTGTGCCCAGGGTGTGGGGAGCACACAGACAGCCCTGGCTGTTCCAGCTGCTGGAATTGGAGCCACAGCCCCACTGGGACTGCCTGGGAATGCCTGGCCCACAGGCACCTGGGGAGCATAGCTCAGACCAGGCTGGGTCCTGTGCCTGGCCGAGCTGCCACTGGAGATCAGAAACACGGCCAAGGCAGCAAACCCGGGGTGTTCTGTGCCTGGGATCCCCAGGAAATTTGTGTGTGGGAGCTGCTGGAGTCCTGCCTTCCCCAGTGCTGCCTCTGCAGCAGCTGCTCTCAGTCCCAAAGGATGGGGTGGGTGTGAATGCTGCTGTGCTGAACCCAAATCCGTGTCACAGTGTGACACAGAGTGACAAGGACTCAGCCTGGGGTCTTGCTGCTGAAGCCTTTCCCTCCTTGCAGGGGCGGCTCTCACACAAAGAGCAACGTTTGAACAACGGGGTTGAAAATGATCCCTTTTCAGCTGAGTGAGACGTTCATGTCTGAACCTGACAAGACTCCTGCTCACCCACACAGCAGCAGGCAGCTTTTTACCAGAAGTACCGTTTGACTTCCCAGATAAAACACTTGTTTGATTTTTTTTTTCCCTTTCTTACAGCTGCAAAGAGTAACATTTAGACAAATGCTTGATGAGCAGACGGTCCAACAACCTGCAGAGCAGCCTACTTGTCTACTGTGAATGATGGCAGCATGGCAGCGCTGTGGTTCTGCTGAGCAGGACACCAAACCCATCCCAGCCCCAGGATGGACATGGGGACAGCAGGGCCACTCACCTTGCGCCCGGCCTCGTTGTTGTGCAGGTTCATGAGTGTCCTGGCGTTCTGCTTGATCTCCCGCGCGTCCACGAAGACCTTGGCGAAGCCGATGCCGTAGCGGATGTCGGCGGAGCAGCCGCCCCATTTCCAGCCCTCCTCCTTGTGGTACTGGCCCTGCTTCTCCTTGTCGCAGCCGCAGTCGCTGAGATTGCCCTGCGTGCAGGCCGCCGTGATGGCGTGGGCCACGCCGGCTGCAATGATGGCGTAGGTGAAGGCGGCCTCCCTGCTTCCTGCAAGGAGAACGGCCGTGAGCAGCGGGCAGGGCACGGCGAGGGGAACGGCAGGGCCTGCGGGCACACAGCACCGCCTGCTCCTGGAAATGCTGGAAAGCCGCTCCATGAACAGGGGAACGGCAGGGCCTGCGGGCACACAGCACCGCCTGCTCCTGGAAATGCTGGAAAGCCGCTCCATGAACAGGGGAACGGCAGGGCCTGCGGGCACACAGCACCGCCTGCTCCTGGAAATGCTGGAAAGCCGCTCCATGAACAGGGGAACGGCAGGGCCTGCGGGCACGCAGCACCGCCTGCTCCTGGAAATGCTGGAAAGCCGCTCCACGAACAGGCTCTGCTCCTCTGGGATTCACCTGCTGGATGCTCATCTCTAAAGCAATGGCCCTCTAGGAGGCAGGGGGAGATCAAGTGTTGTTCAGGCTGATGCCTTTGGAATTTAGCTTTTATATGTTTCAAATCCTGTACTGATCAATGTATAACCCTAAACTCCATACAGAGTGTTAGTTAATTGTCTCCACGTTTTGGTCAGACAAAAAAACTCTCTAGACCTGAAACTCAAGGATATCCTACAGCCTCAGGCTCTGAAAAGTATAAACAAAAGTGAATGGGGAGGAGGAAATTGGGGGGTAAATTACTTCATTACCTGCAGCTGTAATTGAAGAATTAACCCGTGATATATAAATGCGCCAAATTTATAATTGTCTGAAAAACTCATGACCACTGTCCATCCTGGGTGCAGCCTCTGGGAGGCTTCTGGCTGCCCAAGGTGTCCCTGTTAAAGGCTTTTAATAAATACCCACTTTATTCTCTTAACCTTGCCTAGCCTCTGTTCTACGGGGTCACTCCAAGGCATGAAGGCAGCTTCATCTCTATATTTCCAGATGCTATTAGGAGTAGGCAAACTAAACTTAAAACAAAAGGATGGAGTGGCAAATGTTGGAGCTCAAAAATAAAGAAAGAAAGGAAAACAAAATAGGTGGGCTTGGGGGTTAAGTTGTTAAACCCTCCATATTCAACCTTTTAAAAACTCAGCTGGGAAGTAGGATTTTATTTTAAAATTTAATTCTACACTAAATTGTATTTTTACAGGATGACTGCTTCTGTTTCACTCCTGTTCTGAAAACATTTTTACTCAACTGGGACAATTTCTTCACACTGCAGGTGTCAAAAAGTTTTCAACACTGACATCTGTGCTGACTCAATGAAATAAGTCTTGGGTTTAATTTCAAAATTTCTCATAAAATGAAAAAAAATCCTGACCTGTTATAGGCACAGTGACCAGAGCAAGGTGAAGTAAGAGCCTCACCAGAGGGCTGCGAGACAGAGGTTGGTCCAATAATACTTTGTGCAACAAGGCCATAATGACAGGTTTCTGTTTCCTGAGGGGGGGTTCTCACTTTAAATCTAAGATTTAATTTCTCTTTTTGAAGTTTTGTTGCATCCTGCTGTGTGTATTTCCCACATGTGGACCCTACGGGATCTGTGAGGCTTTGGGGGCCAGTTCAGCTGAGAGGGCCCTTCACAGCCTGAGGAGGTTTGCAGAGGTTGCCCGTGTGTGTCAAACAGCCCTTAAAAATATTTGGATCACCCAAATCGAGAACTTGTCCTACTCTTATTTCTCCAATGACAAAATGCACCCTTGTTGAATAGGATCAGAATCAGGCTCTTAATTAGGGGAGTGCAGATGGGAAGATCTGCTTCCCTTCTCCTGGCAGACCTCAGCTGCTGGCAAGAGTATGTTACCCATGAAACAAGCCCATTTCTGCTGCTCATTGCATTTCACAAAAAAATCATCACTTGGGAAAGAAACCTTACAACACTTCAGCCTTGGCTGCATCCCTTTCTTGTAATATGATCTGGATTTCTCTGCTTGTCTCTTTTAATGATAAATGTTCATTTCCTTGTATCGAGGAAGTAAAATGGAAAACAAGATGACATTATCACAATCTGTTAATAGTCAACCTCATGCCCTCTGTTAGCAAAGGCAGTATCCCTAATGCTGCAACATACTGCATTTATTAAAGAACTTAATAAATATTAAGGAACAGTCACTTATCTGACTTCCTCAAAGGATTCCTAGTTTCTCCTTACTTAAACACAAAAAAAAATCATAACATGATTTCTTTTGACCATGGAAATTGCAGATGAAGCTTTCTAGAACTCTTGGCTTTTTATAAAAATCTGAATGTAGAAGAGAAATACCAGGCTTTAGGTGTATTTGGAGTTGAGCTCCTCCTCCAGTTTACATTCATCAGCACCCTCACTACTGTAAGCACAACACTATGAAAAAGGCACTGGCAAACAGTGCACAATAAGAAGTCCCACTTTATCTCTCAGAGGGCAGCACTGCATCACACCAGGTTTCTGCTCCACAAAGCAGCAAATGGGACATTGTCAAAGAAATATTTCTGAGTTGAATTTGCATGTGATTCTTTTTTCCCTTTGATTTTGATCAGATTACTTTTGTTCAGCACAAGTTATTTTCAAGGTCTAGAACAAAAACCACTGGGAGATCACGTGAATCTGACATACTCGGCATTGTAGAGGCTGAGCACTACTTTTGCTTTTTAGAGGGGAGAAAAATGCAATGTAGAAAATACAAAATTAGTTAGTACAAGCAGAGTCAGAAGCCAGTGTCAAGCTTGATCATAAATTACATTACATAAATTATTTTATAAGTTTGTCTTATTTGGGAGAAAATCTTAGCAGCTTTTAAAACCTCAAATTTTGGAGATTACAAGGTAAACAAAGCAAGTGCTTAGAAGAATTGACCCAAGTAGGAAGTGCCTTGGCACTTGTGCAGTGGTGATAAAGTGATGTGGGTTTGTCACGTCTGCATCCAACTGTTCCTGTTTTTTCATAAATGATTGACTTTTTGAGTCTCATTACCCTGGCCTGGCTCACAGAAATGCCAGCATGGGAGGGAAGCTCAGACCAGCCTGAGTGTCTTCTGTGACAGTGCCTGAGGTCCCAGGGGTTGGTGCCCAAACAGGGTAACCTCAGCATGGGGGTGCTTCTGCCACTTTTAAGTAGGAATTCTACTCCCCTACTTTGGAGTCCCACAGAGTTGAAATTCCTGGAGGATCTGAGGGGGAAACGTGGCTTTGCCAAGGTATGGCCAGGCAGCTGCTCCTACAGATGTTAGGCAAGGGTGGAGAGTCACCTGTCACAGAATCACGGAATCCCAAATGGTTTGGGTGGGAAGAGACCTTAAAGCTCCTTCATTCCAGCCCTGCCATGGGCAGGGGCATTTCCATCCCTCCAGGGTGCTCCAAGCCCCGTCCAACCTGCTTTGGACGTGTACAAGAATTACAAGCCTTCCTTTCAGCTCCCAAATCACACATTCTTCTCCTTATCTCAGACAAACCATGGTAAACACTCCAGAGCTCAACTCCAAGCACTGGAACCTCCAGAGAAGGATCTGGCAGCAGTCAGAGCTTGCTCTGGCCATTCACAGGACCTGATGGGTTCCAGCCATGGCTCTGCTCCCTCAACCTCACCTGGGACTCTCCCCAGCCCCAGCCACGGGGGCTTCTCTCCACATGTTGGACATAAACATCCTCCTGCTTTTCATGTGCTTTTCTGAACTGCAGTGAGGTGTGCAGCACACTGCAGCTCCATTTGCTCTGACGGCAGAGAGCTTGTCATTGATGGCTCCCAAAATTTCTGCAGCTCCATCTGCTGATGCAGATCCTCTCCCAAAGCACTGGAGTCCTGTCTGCACACCCTGCACTGGGCTGGGCACCTTCCCAGGCTCTCTGTAGCTGTGTCTGTGAGCTCTGCACAGCCAGTCACCACGCCGGGGTGCCAGGTGTCTCAAGGGGAAGCACTGAGAGGGTCACAGGTGGCTGCAGACACAGGTGTTACCAGGGCAGCTTCTCTCCTAACACTGAGCACAGTTACACACACCCCATGCACACCCCAGAGCCTTAATTCTGCAAACACTCACTGCATGCCTCTGAGTGTGGATATGAATGTTTGCTAGACTGGGTTTGGGCTGATCAGTCTGTCTACCAGCTGCACAGACTGGTCTGTATTCTGGTTTTAATTTAGCTCACTTCATTTGGGTAATTAAGTTTAATCTTTAAATTTCAAAACTTTGTAAAAACTTCATTCACACAGATTAGAAATGGAAACTTATTTTTTAAAAGAAGTGCAATACCTTGATGTTGTTTAGGAAACAAAGCCTGAGTCTGCAAAATGCAGAGCGGATTTACTTGCAGGAAGTCAGTAGGTGCTCAGCAGTTTGGGATCTAAGGGTGTTTCTAAACAGCCTGTCCCACCCTATCAGCCCCCTCACAAATTGACTAAGCTGTGAAATAAAAGAGAGACAAATTTCTGTTTATCTCACTGGAAAACATGGGTTGTATTTTCTGCTATTTAAAGCCAAAGGGTCAGAGAGGGAGTTATCTGCAGTGACATGAGCTGAAATATGATTGGGAAAATATAAAGATGGAAAACACAGCATACCTTGCCAATTATGTGCCACAGCAAACATTACTCCTCATCTCTCTATAGAGGCCATAACTCACAGGCTGGAAAAACGCAGAGCAGAGCCCATCCCCTGCCTGCATTGGGCTTTGCCTCCTCCTTCTTTGGTAGACTACGAATGGTCTGGCAGGATTTTTTATTTTCATTTTTCTTTAACCTAGCATGAGTGATTAATAAGAATGGTAGCTTTAAAAAAAAATCATTGAAGTATCCTCTTCCTAATTTTTTCTTCCCCTTCTGTACAAAGTTGGGGGGGTTGGTGCCTTAAAATATTGTATTCAGTAGGAATTAAAAGGATGGTTCCCTATAAAACAGCACTGTGGCTTTACAAAGATAAGTTCAAAAAAATAAAATATAGAGGGGCTTTAAGAGGCATTTCAAGACTCTGGGGGTTTAGGCCCTGCCCACTTTCATGAGCTAAAGTTCCTTTCATCAACACATGAAACTTTTGCAGAGGAAACACTCCAGCTAAAGATTATTTCTGAAAACACCCCCTTTAAATTTATAAC